CCATCAGTCGTTGCTGTTGTTGCACCAGCCGTGGTAGTCCCTAAAACTCCTCCACAGCTCTTCAGCTCTTCAGCAGATTTTGAATCAGCAGCTTTCGCCTCTGAAGAGCCCTCAGTTGAAGTGGTGACGGTTATGCGGCTAATCTGCTGTCCTGGTTTTACCACTTCCCCTCCCGCATACTTGATCCAGTTGGTGGGATGGCCCTTCGAGGAGCTTCCATCGTAGTTGACAAAGACAAAGCCGTCACGACTTTCCTGACTGCTGCTGGCCGTGGCCGTTGTCGATGGCTTATCAGCCTGCAACTTTAAGCTCTTCAGCTTCCCAGCGACCACTTCAGAGGCCGAGTCGACGCTGTGGTTGTCTTTTGAAACAGGTGCCACCACGCCTTCAAAGCTAGAATTGGAACAATTGCCGCAGCTGCTGCTGCTGCTGCCAGAGTCGTCGGCGTCCTCGTCGTGATCATCGTCCTCATCCTCATCCTCATCGTCGTCATCGTCATCCGTAGCTTGGAGATCAGAAGCAGAGCCAATCGAGGAGTTGCCACCATCATTAGAACCTTATGAAAAGTTAAGATTAGATCTAGATTCACTGTCTTTTTATGCACAACAAAAACTCACCAAAATCCTCCTCCTCCTCCTCTTCGACCACATCATCCTCCTGTTCTTCCTCCTCCTCCTCATCCTCATCCACCACCAGCGGCTTCATCAGATCAGTGGACATCTCCTGAGCAACATGCGCCCCGTCCACCAGCTCCTCATCGTCGTCGTCGTCCTCGATCATCAGCCCGTTGATGTGATGATTGCCAACTCCTTTGCCTCCTAAAACTCCCGCACTACTCTTCTTCTCCTTGACCGAGTCATCGTCAGAGGAATCCGCTTCTTCGGAGCTCTCCCCCGACGAGTCCAGGTCGGAGCTGTCTTCGGCGGTGTCCGAGCTGTACAGCGGCATGTAGCTGGCCGCCGGACCNGAATCAAAATAAAAGATCTTTTTTTGGAGCAGGAATTCGTGCACAGATTAATCTAGAAATGTGTGTAAAAGTTAGTGAAGTAGTGGTGGTTATCAAGCAGGCAGTTAGTGAGTGAGTGAGTTAGTAAAGTAGATAGCTTTATTATCATGATCAATAGAACAGTTCATCATCATCATCATCAATTAGGTCAACAACAAACAGAAGAAAGAGATAGAGTTAGATAGGGAAAAGAACATCAGTTAGAAAGATAGAAACGAGCACCAAAAGAGAAGGCACCAAAAGAATACGATATAATAGAAAGTTAAGGGGGGACTGCGCGCACATAAAATTTTTTTTCGAATTTTTAGT